ATCTATCTATCTATCTATCTATCTATCTATCTATCTATCTATCTATCAGTGAGTTTTTGATGGACACTACAGCCCAGAGCCAAAGGCGAAAGGCCCCCGGTTTGAACTAAAACCTGTGATTTGACCCCTAAAATGATCAAAAGTGCTTTGCTTGCCTTAGTGCCCTCGGGCCAGAGCAGCAGCTCCAGGTGCTGGTCCAAAACCCCTCTGAAGGGCCGGCCGGCCACGGAGGTGAAGGCCTTTACGCGTCCGAACTGGGAGTAGTAGCTGACCGCGTCGCTGCGGGGGGGCAGCAGGGAGGGGGCGTCGCTCAGCCACTCCCACACACCTAAACACAAGACACAACTCAGACACACAACTCAGAGACACAACTCAGAGACACAACTCAGAGACACAACTCAGAGACACAACTCAGAGACACAACTCAGAGACACAGCTCAGAGACACAACTCAGAGACACAACTCAGAGACACAACTCAGAGACAGAGCTCAGAGACACTACTCAGAGACACAACTCAGAGACACAACTCAGAACTACCACTTTATGCAGATATTCCCGGATCTGGAGCTGTGGAAGCTCGATCTCTGGATGGGAGTTTCCTGCTGTTCCCAGTGTTCCTACTGTCTAGTCTTATTGCTGTCATAACTTTTATCATTATCATTAGTCTTGGTTACACTTACACAGACACAAGTACAGACTTCATGCATTCCTTGGACTCACTGCCTCGCTGTTACCTTTCCCCTTCCTTCCAACCCCCCCATCCCTCCCTCCCTATGTGTCCTTGATGTTGTGATTTGACTGTATCTGTGCTTTAATGTACTGAGGTGTTTTTTTTAAATCACTGTTACGTCCCCTGTAGGGGGCGTGGCACTGGGTCTTTTTTTCCCTCTTCCTGCAACCGCTTTCCCAATGTATTCTTTTTGTTCTGAAGAAAAATGGTGCGCCCTCCTGTGTGGCTGCCCTCAGTCTTCCCGAACTGGTGTGTCTATGTGTTTTGTTTGTTGGATCTTGGTACGGGCTGTACTGGAAGTCAATTTCTCCCTGGAGATCAATAAAGTATATATTCAATTCAATTCAATCATTGCCATGTTTCATCCAGTCTGTTTTGCTGTGTTGGCTGCCTCTCTCTCTCTCACCCCCAACCGGCCAAGGCAGATGCCCCCCCCACCCTGAGCCATGGTTCTGCTCGAGGTTTCTGCCTGTTAAAACAAAGTTTTTCCTTGCCTGTGTCGCCTAGTGCTTGCTCATGGTGGGAAATGTTGGGTTTCTGTAATTAACTTCAGAGTAGGGTCTGACCTGCTCTGTTTGGAAAGCTGGGAGATAACTGTAGTTTTGATGTGGCGCTATATAAATAAAATTGAATTGAATTGAATTTTCGGCCGAAACAGCAGCATCAACCAAAGAAATGTGTCACATTTTCATTTGGGAAGCAGAGCAGAATCTGGGAACTAAAGGAGCTCCGGAGGAGTTTGTCATTAGCCGTCTGTCCGTACTTGTGGGACTGGGCTTTTATCTGGATGGTCTGCCAGCTGTTTAGCAGAGGTTTAAACTGGAAAAAGAGTGAGTCTGACCTCTTGACAGAATCACAACATTCCTTATTTATACTTGCTATGATCTACTGTAGGAACCGGTCCACAGATGAAAACTGTTTCAGGGACTTAAGGAGATGACTGTAATCACATAGGGGAGCACGATTTACCCCTAAACCCACTGCAATTCTGATAAATGAGATATTTTAAAAAATTTTGTAGCTTGTTCCGCATCCTCATTGGCCAGCTTCCCAGTTCGCGGCAACAAGGATACGAAAAATAATCATTAAGTCTGTTTTAAAACAGTCGATCTATAAAGGATCTACTACTAGGATCTACTACTTTAAAAGTAGTCATCCCTCCTCAACTTTAAAAGGTACAGATCTCAGACACGGTCAGTACAATTCAAGAGATGTCGGTTTTAAAGCAAGTTTTTTCTCTTGTGAAACTTTTTCCTTATTGAATTATAGCTAAAACAACACGGCTCCCTCGGGCCTGGGGTGTTACATGTCTTACAATGTTTAAATATACGTTAACATGTGTTTAAATATTGCTTTATGTCCTTAGAAGTTAGTTTCCAATAAGGTTTTCATAATATACCTGAATGGTACTCTGTGTCTTTGACTCAATATTGAATGCAGGAAAGTTTGAATTCCCCATAATTCCTGTTTTATGTGGTTTTGGCTTATGAAATCTATGTTTCATTCAGTGATGGATTCCACATCTAACACTATTACTGATGTAACACACATGTTTTTGTCCATCTTTTTGACCATTGAGTAGGTTGGCTAGCTTTAGCTGTACTGGGTTGGACATTTTTTGGGACTTGCTGACCGTTTGTTAGCACCTCGACGTTTCTGTCAGCTGACACAAACACATTCCTCACATTCTGCCGGGACCCGGAAGTGGCCCCGGTTTGGCCCCGTTTATGGCTCGTTTATGGCCCGTTTGTCCGGCTGCTTTTACCCTGTTTGCTCATCTTTCCCCAGGTCACGGTGGTCAGGAAGTAGTCCAGTGCGGCCACCGTCCCGTGGCCCGTCACGGCGTCCGACACCAGGATGGTGTTGTTCAGGTCGACATGGAGGACCAGCTTCCTGCTCCGGCCGTTGCCCGGAGACCCGTTGCCTGGAGACCCGTTGCCCGGAGACCCGGGACCCGCGGACCCGGTGCCGGTTCCCTCTTCCCGCGGGCCGCTACCCTCACCGACCTCCGCCATGAAAACGACAAAACACCGGGTGAAAAGTGCTGCCTCACCGGCTCTGTCATCCCCCGGGCTCAGACATGACGGAGGGTTTACCGGTGCTTCAACCGGATTGGTCGGCTGTCTTCTTCTACGCAGTTAATTGTTGATGCAATTCCTAAAAAAGCGAGACAGCGCCATCTAGAGTTGAGTTTGTTCAAGTACTCCCAAGTCACTTTATATTGATATTTAAACTAATTATATAGAGAACCCATACTTATTTGATTTATCCACTGGAAACTCGTGCTTAAAAAATATTTACTTTGAATTTACATCATCCTAAACCAATAAATTGCGACAAAAGCTGTTAAGTTATAAGCATCATATATGTAATTAATAAATAAATAAATAAACATTAATTAATATCCTGGTGTCTGTGGTCCTCTGAGGTTCTTAAAGCTCTTCACAACCCTTTACAAATGTTTTATCATTTAAAAAAACTATGGGAAAAAGTTCCTCTAAAAATATTTGCAACATTTGTTTGGGACAAGTTCTGTCAAACAGAATTTGTTGAAGTTTTCATAACTTATTTACACAGTAGCTTCTAAAAAATTAAAAAGAACGCTGAGCCTTTTACCTTTAACAAATTATTTAAGAATCATCTCAAAACTGTGATATTGTAACTGTGCTAAGTTAAAATATTGATTTCCTTTTATGATAATTCCAGTAACAGTGTGGATATTTTGCATTTCTTTACTTGCCATCCAGTGTTTCCTTCTAGAAAAGACTGAGATCAGGACTCTGAACTCCAAAGCACCAAAGACACGTTTAACGGAAAAGTTTTCTGTAGGAGACTTTTAACCACCAATGTTTGAACATTTAAATGAATCACTAAAATACTTTACTGAGGCGATGAACCATGGAGTTCTGAATTTTCTAAACTGCTTCACACAGCGTTAAGTTCCATTTTAAAAAGTCACTTTAGGCTCAGCAGGCTGGTTCTTAAGAAGTAACTTAACTTAAGAAGCAACTTAACATTTGAGTGCATAAATACACAAAAGAGGAAACCTTTCCATAAGCAATTCAACATTTTTATTTATATTAACCATTTATAGTATCCACAGCAGCATTCTTAATTATTCCCACTTTGTATACGCAGTCCATGACAAAGGAGGAGGGGGGGGGG